TGAGGGCGCACTCAATCCCACTGTACATGTCGCCAACAAAGATGTTGAACATGGTTAGTCCCAACACCGACCCCTGAGGGACACCACTCGTTACTGTGTTCCAACTGGACATTGAGCTGTTGACCACAACTCTTTGCGTGCGGCCATCCAGCCAGTTCTTTATCCACTGAGTGGTCAATCCATCAAATTGATGTCTTTCCAATTTAGAGACAAGGAGGTCGTGAGGAAAACACGACATTGTTTGTATGGTATTAGGATATAATATTTGCAGGTCCAAAGAGACCTTTTCACTATCGCAAAGGAAGATGAAGGCAGAGCAGAGTTTCACATCTCCAGAGGTTTGGGCTAATTAATCCCTGGTCTCTGAAACATTTCCACAAAATAAATATTCTTGGATGACACACATCTTAGGTGCACAAGCACCAGATGCAAACGTAGTGGGATCTCATCTCAACCTTCCTTTAAATACAATGATGGAAATTCACCTATATCAGATCTCTTGTCAGTACTTTTCCTTCATTTAAATTCTTGTCACTAAAGGTTTTCTTGGTAGCATCAACCAAAATTCAATAGTATAGATATGAGTCTTTTGTTATTTCAAGGGTTTTAGATCACATGGAAGGTGTCACATGGCCTTAAATAAGAGTTACTTATTTGACGATTGTGTTGATATTAGACCAAACAAAAGCAGAATGATTCTTAAAGATTTAACCAAAACTAATGATATATATAAAATCATAAACTGCTAACTGCTAAGGTATTTTAAAGTGTTGGGAATGGTCTAAAGAGTTTGGAATAGAATTTTGCAACACAATTCTTTTATGATGTAGGAACTTGAGTAGTTTGCCAAAGAGCAATTGCTAGATGCTAGATATACTCTACATTATCTTAGGGCAAGTAGTTTGCTTAAGAAACTTCAGCTTAGTACATATCCAGGCTCACCTTTATTTTACAGTTCATCTCAGATTTCCTTATTCTTTGTCATTATTTATATTTGTGAAATAAATTGTTGATATCTTTTTTTTTTCTTTCATTATTATAGCTTTATACTGTGGTTACTATGGTTCGCTTTTTTTTTTTTTTTATTCTGCCTTCACATAATTGTTAAACTTAAAGCAAATTAATGTTTGTACAGATATCCCTTTAGTCTACTTGAGTATGAGTTAGTAGAAGCTGAATTTGAAGCATAAATAATAAATACCTATTCTTAGAATGGAATAATTATAAACACACAATCTTAATCTTTCTTAGTGTTCTAGCACATAATATTTGTAAGCCAGCTCTGGCTCTTGCAAAGTATTGTGAGCTGTTTATGCCATTACAGTTACTTCCAAACTCTTTTTCTTTCATTAGTTACCGTACTTTTCCCTGAGTTCAATCAGTAACTAGGGAGCAAACTAAAAAAACAAAGTTAAACATATTCTCTTCTTCACATGTTGTCCTCTCCCTGCTTCAAGTGTATCACCGTCACTTTCAGCAACAGAGTCAAGGTCTCTCTAACCAGTTATGTCTATACTTTTTTCAACATATTGTTAAGAAACTTTTTTCTACCATTTTTCAAAGGCCTGACTAAAATTCAGCCCTGTGACTTGAAGACATGGAATTGTGTGTTCTTTCTGGTGAAGAAAAATAAGTTTAATCTTTGAAAAGCCAACTTTTAAGAAGTTTTCTGACAACATTATGACTGTTCATGTCTTACTTACCAGAGCTCCACTACTGAGGAGAATCATGAACACAATGAAGGTCTCAAACCAGTTGTGTTCGACAATCCTGAAGCAGGTTTTTCTAAGGTTCCACCATTGCTTTCCTCTCCCTTCTTCTATACTTACTTGACAGCACTTGAACCTTCGTACACAACCTTTACAACAGTGTATATATTGAGGGGAAAAAAGAAATAGATATTGTTGAATTGTATTAATTTTGGTTATGCATTCTGTTAATGATACGATGTTACCTTCCGAGAAGCTCTACTATTTAGTAAAAACCCAATAGATTTTCACCTAGATGACCTTCTTTTATTCTAAAGGGAAAAAAAAAAAATCCAAACCAAACCCCCCCCAGCACCCAAAATACTGAGAAAATTTGAATTTACAATTAAATGAACAAGTGAGAAGAAAGTATTTCTCCTTTATCAAGAACTAAATGCTTAGTACAGTGCACACAAAAAGGTAAAAATCCATGGAACATGAAGCCAAATTACATAATACCAAGTATGAGTGAAAATATACAATCTCATGCAAATGTATACTAGGTTTATGTTGTAAGATATGGGCGAGTGTTATTAAATTGTACTTTCTTTTTTGGGGGGTACTAAATTCAGACAATGTTGCATTTATTATATGAAAAAATCCAAATGTCTAAGTTCTGAGCTTTTCAGTACCAGCAAATTCTCTAATTTGTGCCCTTAATTTATTTAAGCTTTTATGATTTAGCTGTTGACTTGATTTTTGACGGTAACATTTATTTTCCAAATTCTAAATCTAACTTCTGCTTGTATCCTTACATCACTTTTTTATACCTATTCCTTTCCCCACCTCCTTCACATGCTTACATCCATAAGGTTTCTTGCAAGAAAATGCCTTTGTAAATAAAGTTTCTGACGAGATTGATGTTTCGTTTATTTTTGTAAAAGGGCCAATAGAAGGCATCATTAAAGATGAATGAGTCCACCAGTTGAGATTGTTCTTGCTCCAGGTGGCAAACAAAGGCTCTGCCTTCTCTTTTTGCTGAGTTGTAGGAGGTTCACTTAGCATTTTGCACAAGATCACCCAGGTGCATTTTTTATTTACCACTTAGCAGCTTTTTCAGTAATGCGTACTTTATAAACACTTTGATAGATATCTATGAAGAATGTTATATAGAGCAACTGTAATTAAACTCAGAAAGTGCAGTAGTTCATACTAAAATAAATCCTTCAGTAATAGATTTTTCTTATTTAAAAACAATGATAAACTTCTGGTAAAATATTTTCTTAACCATTTATCTGATATATAGTATAATTGTGGTACCATTATCTGTATAGTAAATTATGGTCTAAAAGTACTACTGCTGATAATCGTAGTTTAAACAGTAACAACTCAATACATAAATATTAATATTTAGTATAAACAGATAATTGTTATATATTTCATGAATAAGTATTATTAGCATTTTTGTTCCAAACACCTTCTGTGAAGCAGGCCTCTGGCTCCTGGGCTTCTTCAGGTTCAGCTTCTGGTTGCTCTTCTGCAGGAAGTCCAATATCAACTGTGCTGCCTTCAGAAGAACTAGATGAATTTAACTTCTGTTAAAAATAAAGAAGATTAAAAAAAAAACCCCAAAAAAATCACAAATGCACAGTAAATATTTTTTGGCAAATATTAGTTGTTTTCAGAATAAATAAATAATTTTGCCATGGTTTTGAATGGTTTAGTATTTAACATAAGTGAATTGCTGATAATCATATATGAAATTTGTACGATCCTTGGTTTTGCTTTTGCATTGTATGGATCCATTAAATAAAAAGTGCATCAGTGACAGATAAGGCTTTAAAAAAATATTCTTAAACTAGAAAATATGGATGATAATGCTAAGCCTGCAAAGATCTATGACCACAACTGGCCATATTAATATATTAATATATTTTGGCTAATATTTATCAGGGAAAGAAATATTAATGCTGCAGACATTATCCGGGAAATGGGAACAACACTGTCTCTGAAATAGGTTGCTACGGGAGAGGCTGTTTTTTACAGGTATCCTTTCTCGAGGGGGATCCAAAGATTGCACTTAGTTGGAGGTTTTGTCGAGAACACTAGAGGGCTTATGCACACTGAACTGACAGCAATACAGAATTCAGCTACCCTAAAATCGGGTGTCTTATGTACTGTTAACAGTACAAGAGAGGCAGGGGAAGATCAGCTATCTCACAAAGAAATTGGATTGCTACCAGAACGGAAACTAGCTAGTTTAAGGTTGAGGTTCCTCAAGTCAGAAAACTAATTTTGGTAAGTGTCTGGAAAGGTAATTTTCTGATTTGAATAAAATGTCAACAAACTAAGTTACTGAGGGTGTAGTTGTTTTGCAAATTATGTTATCAAATAAAGTTAAATTATTTTGTTAGAAGAGCCACAGACAAAATGTCGTATAAAGAAAGAGTTATAGGTTTGATATATTTTTTCTAAACAACCCACAGTTCTCAGAAAAGAGCTATCTACAGCCTACTTTGGCTACATATTTTCACAACTAAGTGAATTTGAAGTATGTGGAAGAGTCTATGGTTCAAACTTCTTTTTATAAGAATCTAGGCGTAGAAGAGCTGACAGTTCTAAAATCTAAAAGAATTCCAGTGTCTAAAGGGGTGGCAGAGAGATGTATGACACTCCTAGTGGGATCCTTGTTACAGGAGGCAAACAAAAGTTTCTGGTGGAATAAGACTGTAGCTAAGGCACTGTCCTGCTCTACCAGTTGTTACAACTACCATATGGACCATTAACAGTTCTTATGGATTACTTCTGTTTCCCATTGCCTGGCCTCTCCTCTTGGAGACTGTGATTTTAAACCCTTACTCACACTTTTGTTCATCAAGAATTAAACCCTCCTTTCTATACTCATTTATCTACAAAAGAAGTGTCAAAATAACATGCATGCATTGGGATATGAAAAAAAAAAAAAGAAAAAAAAGGAAAATTCTCAAAGATCAGAGAGAAATGCACAAAATATCTCAATACCTCTTTACTTTCCTCCAGGTCTGATTCACTGCTAAATTCCTCTGTGTTTAGATTTTCAAAGTCAGATTCACCCACAGCAATGGGCACTGTCACGGTGAGACTTGGGTTGTTTATGAATGACATGTAATCACTTTCGTCAATTATGTATTTTTCCACACTGCTACCTGTGCCTATGCCACTAGTTGTTCCATTCACATCTTTAATGTAGTCATGGTCCTTGCTTAGTTCCACAGTTGTGTGGTTAGAAATACAGCTATTTTTGTTGTTCAGATCTTCAAGTGGTTTGATTTCATCTAAAGCTTTTTGCTTTTTAACAAAAGCTTTTTGGATGAATTCGCGTGCTTTTCTTTTCACATAATCTACGCCCTTCTGCATTCTTGCTACAGCAATTTGGAGATTATTCATTTCATTGTCATCATCTGTCACGGCAAGGTTGTCTGCACTAAATGAGCTCAAAAGCAAGGCCAAAAACAGGTTCAGTACCTACAGAAAGAAAAAAAAAAAAAAAGGTTGTTCTAGACAATCCCAAGAAAAAATGATTATTTTATTAAAAATTGTGGTATTAGTGACATCAAAGACTGAAATCCCAGTAATTCACCATAACCAAAGAAAAACACCCTAAAAACTTTTTCTCTTCTTCGTAAAAATTTGAACTTTTAAAATTTTGCTTATGTCCTGTTCACTATTCCAAAATATTCCTACAACTGTCTAATATCTGTAAATGTGTCTTTAAATCACCATGTGCTAAATCTTATAATCTAAAAATGGAGATAACAGATTTACTATTCAGCATTATTAAAAAATTTAATTTATCCTATCACACAGCAGAAATTAGATTATTTAGGTGACTAATCATATGGGATAAATAATAAAAATTCCAGAGCAAATGGTTTATAAAGAGCCCATAAACTAAAAGCATTTGAAGCACAAAGTATTTACAAAGAGCCAAAAGACAAATTAAGACTGTAACTAAGTGCTCACTGTAATATTGTTAGGATTTTGGTATTGCAGAATACTTTGTTCTCAATCCAAAATAACTCTTAAGCTTAACTTTAAGCATCACTTGAAACCACCTGCTTAATTGCTTTGTTGAAGTAGAGCCAGAGCACTTAGTTTCCTTCAGAACTGAGCCCACGATATTGCTGAATAGTTTTTTGCTAATGCTTTGATTACATACCACTAGGTTTCCAATCACCATGACCATCATGAAGACAGTAAGGCACATGGCTTGGCCTGCAACCTGCATGCAGTCCCACATCGTTTCTATCCATTCTCCACACAGCACTCGGAATACAATCAGAGCACAGCACAAATGTCTCCCCCTCCAGATCAGGAAAGAGTGGAAAAAATCCTGCATGTGCCACCGTGGAAGCACACAGTCACTTGCGATTTTGCAAACACATTCCTTGTAGTTTTTCCCAAACAGCTGCATCCCAACCACAGCAAAAATGAACACAATGATGGCCAGCACCAGGGTCAGATTCCCCAGAGCCCCCACTGAGTTGCCAATAATCTTAATCAGCATATTTAGAGTTGGCCAAGACTTTGCCAGTTTGAAGACTCGCAACTGGAAAAAAACAAAAATATTGTTAGGACAATAAGCAAGAAAGATATGAAGATATTTTAAAACTAATTTGTGGAAGGATATTACTGCAAAATATGCCCTAAGTATGACTGTTCAGAGGGTACCCTCTTGTCTAAAGCATTAAGGTTCAGTCAATGAAATTCTTTGAAGTTAGATATCCTCAAAGCATAGTTTTTACTGAAGACCAAAGAAGCTATCAGACATACTAGATGGAATTTAAAATCTAGGGTTTATCTGTTAAAATCACCTGTGCCAGTTTTCTACAGGTATCTGTTGGGCAAATCCTGTGATGCCAATCAGAGCACAATACACCTAGTGAGCCTGTGTCTGCACAGCAGGATGTTTAAACCATGTATATACAATACATTGGAAATAGGCCCAGTACACCCATTGCTATCTATTTGTCTGGATCTCTATCAATTGTTATGGATGACAGCAAAATACCACAAGTAATAAGAGCTTGCAGTAATGAAAGAGATATCATGATCAGTATCATGGCAAACATCAATCAAATATGTAAGGAAAAAAAAAGTCTGACTGAAAAATCAGTGCAATTGATGTATATTTACCAATCTGAATGATCGAAGAACTGAGAGTCCTTCCACGTCTGCAAGACCAAGCTCAACCAAGCTAAGGGTTACAATAAAACCATCAAAAATATTCCAGCCTTCCTGAAAATAATAGTAAGGATCCATTGCAATTATCTTGAGAAACATTTCTGCTGTGAAGATTCCAGTGAAGACCTGAATTCAAAATGCAGTTTGTTATTCATTATGAGATACAATATTACAGATTTAGCTGTTGCTTGTTTTTAATTCAAGCTACATATCTACAACATCTTATCCAAAACTGACACTTTAAAATAGTTCAGTGATTTATTATGCCCACCTTTCCTTAATAAGTGTTACAGAAACCAAGTATTTTTTTCAATTAATTAAATTTCATACTAAACAAATTACATAAATTTGTTTCATAACATTTATAATTCAATTTCAACCCTATTAGGATATGAACTTTCTTATGTATCGTACAAACAATATCCCAAATTTGATTTCACAACATAAACCAGAATGCTTCCCAAGAAATTAGCTGGTACAACATCTTTCTTGGTATGCTAATTACAGTATACAGCAGCACAAATGAGGCCAAATCTAAGAAGACTCCAGAGGGGCAGCTCCTTTGCTGGTATAACCTGCCATGATCCCATTTAGTTCAACAGAGATACAATTATTTATACCAGATGGGGATCAACTGAGATACAATGATGTATTGAAGGAAAACCAAGGAACTTCTACCTGGGTGTTATGAGTTAGTTCAGTGAAGTTGATTGGCTCAATATTTTTGATCTCAGGATGGAAAGAGCATTCAAGAATGCATTTTAAACATGATATTGCTGGTAATGGTTTCCCATCATGGAATGGTATGCTGAATAAAATAGGAATCATATTTAAGGGCCACCAAGGTAGAGACCCTGAGTAGCTTTGAGAGGTCTTAGGAGAATGTCTAGTAGGATAGGAATGTACTAAAGCCATTGCTAAAAACCTCTCAGAGCCATGGTCTGACAGAAATGCTTTCTTCTTTGGTTTTGATAACCCACTTTCAGGCAAGCTGAACAGAAAAAGGGACAGCAAAATAGAATAATCTGACTGGGATAATCAGGAGATGGACAAGAAGAGTCCAACTTCCTCTGCCTAGGAACACCAATGCTATGTAACCAGTATAATAATAAACCAGACTTTAAATATGTACTAGGTATAAACACTGGAGAGGGAAAGGTTACTATTTTTTAAGCTAAAAGATTTAGGTAGGAATGAATAAATACGATTTGGAAAACCGACTTAGGTTCCTAACGATCAGGGCAGTGAGGTTCTCAAGGAGCTTTAAAATGGAACCACTGGAGTAGACAAACCCTGAATGCCTCTATATTGCAGAAGGGGTTTATGTCTTAGGCTATGCTCCAGCTTAAGACTGGTAGACTATGATGCCAGGTTCTCTTGCACTGCCTTTGTAGTCAGATGTGTGCCAAGATTTATATGGCATTTTCTTGGTTGGAAAACAAACCTATGAAGTGCTACAATACAATTTTTTACATTTTACTACTAAATTCAGATTCAGAGCTATTTTAAGTATTTGAAAACCAGCTATGCATTTATCTATTATTTCTCCCTTTAAACCCTGTAGTTATTTACATGATCTGAGATATTTTTTTCCTTATTAGAAAACAAGGATTATCAAAAATCCTATTATAAGAAATCAATTCTTAAAATAAGAGACAAAGTAGGACTGCAGCTGTAGATACTTCTATGTGATCAAAGCTGTCAGTTCAAAAGCATCAGAGCTACAAAAATTAACTACCTCTTGAATTTTTTAGTAATTTATCTTTTTGAATTAGAAGGAAGAAAATATAGCTGACAACATGAGGAAAAGTTATCTTACTAATTATCTGATGACAAAAAATATAAAAAATATAAGAGGGAAAAGTGATGCAGGATATTATTCATAGTTTTACATGGAGTACAAAAAGAAAAAAAATCCACATAAAAAGTTCTAGAAATGCTCTGAAATGGCTCTTTTAACTATTAAACCTGTGCTTAGGAAACAGGGCAATAGAAGATGCATTCATAATTTAAAGATTTGTATTGATTAAAAACTAACACTACATTTATTTGCAAACTGTCTTTTCCATGGAACTAATGCAGTTGCTTTACTAGTTAGGCAAATCAACTTCTGTTTAAGATGGAATTTACTTAATGTAGCATTGGTATCACTTTTTAGGTTTTTAATTTGGCTTTGTAGGACACTGAAGTATATTGATTTTACAGTATCCTAAGTTACATGAGCCAGGGTTGACAGTGAAATTTCCAAAAATGTTCTGATAGGTTTGAATTGGATATTAGGAAAAATTTTTTTCACCAAAAGGGTGATCAGATATTGGAAGAGGCTTCCCAGGGAAGTGGTGGGATCACTGTCCCTGGAAGTCTTCAAAAAACATGTAGATGAGGCCTTTAGTGACATGGTTTAATGGTGAACTTGGCAATCCTGGGGTAATGGTTGGACGTGAGGATCTTAAAGGACTTTTCCAACCTAGCTGATTCTGTGATCCTATGGTTCCTATCTTGAGGCCAATAAATGTCCAATAAATCTACTTTCTAAAGAGTGGAAAAAAGAAAGCTGTTAAAACTCCATTCAGTTCTTTCAAAAATATTTTCTTCAAATCATGAATATAAAACCCCAACAGACTTACCAGATTTCCAACTGAAAGTACATTATTGAATTCTTCGGTCATCGGATAATGTTCCATAGCCATAAAGAGTGTATTTAAAACAATGCAAATCGTAATAGCCAGGTCAACAAATGGGTCCATTACAACTAAGTTGACAATATGTTTTACTTTTAACCAATGTGGACTGCAGTCCCAGATCAAAAAAATATTTGCAAATTTATACCAACATGGTGGGCATTTCTGTCTTGATTCTTCAAGTTCTGTGGGAAAAGAAAGTTCACACAGGTAACTATGTGATTGCTCTACCATTCCTCAGTCCTACATGAATTGTACCAATCAAATTGTCAATCTGTACCGGTACTGATTAACCTCCTTTTTACAGGGTCTTTGTAGAAAGTCTGTATTCCAATCATTATGTTGATCAGTATCAATTTATGCATCAATTTGTATTATGTATTTAATTGTTCCTTGATTACACTTCACCATATTCCTCTCACTGTTCTATCATGTAAGTGTTTTTATTTTAAATTTGTGGTGTTTAGGTAGAAATTTTCAATACAATTTTCTTCCATTGTTCAAGAAAAAACCACGCATGTTTAGCAACAGGAATAGTACTTCTTTAAAGAGTAACTGAATAGATATAACTGCTAAAAATACATATATATTTTAACAATGGTTGTATATCTTTGAAAAATGTTCAGTGGTCTTTTTGTGTCCAACAATACAATTACATAGGCATCTACTCAGTTATGACCATCAAACATAACTCTGTAGTCCTGATGACCACATGAGATAGATGGTGGCAAAACAATGAGATGGAAATGCTTACTTATGTACAAATATACCTTAATGAATAAAGAGCTCTGAGTATGCCAATAAATGTGTGTCAGTTTGTGGGGTGGTGTCTGCTAAATAAGATATTTTATGTCAGTTTTAAAGTTTCAACTGAAATTTACAGAAATCCATTGGGAAAACAGGTATTAAATATTAAGCTTGCATAGCACACACCTTCCACAGTGTTTGTGAGGATGCTAGCAATACTCATGGCTCTCTCCCTTAAAGCTGGATCTTCCAGGTAATCCACAGAAACATGAAAAGAGCTTGATATTCTCTTTCTCACTTCTGTTTCTGTAGTGGTACCCTAAACAGGGAACAATAATATGTGAGACCATGTTGGAGAAACGAGATAAGCAAATGCTATATATAACCCTGTTATTAATGTCTTAGCTTGAATACGTGCTTCATGCACTTCATCTTTTATCATGTCGGACTTTTATTACTTTTTACTACCTCTGAAATAATTTTAAAGAGGTATGAGGCAAAGATTATCTACTGTTCAAGAGTGAGCAGGAGCTTATGTACTTAACTTCTGCATTTCTTTCCTTAAGCTATGAAAAATCATTTTAAAAAATTGCCAAAATATTGTATAATCTTTATTTTTTTTTTCAAACTAATGTTTTTTCTTGCTCCTGCTGACAGAATATGCTGGTTTGCAACATAATAGTCTTTTCTCCTAGGCAAACTGTAGCAAGTAAGAAAAGTCTGACTTCCTCATGCTTCCTCATGCTAGTATTCTTTTAGTAATGTGTGTAGACAACTTTAAGCAAGGATTTTTTCTGAGACATCTTCTCTTAACTTGTATTTGGTAAGAGAATGGCAGCATATGTTCACACAGACATTTGTATTTTTGGAAGTATGTATTGATATGTGATCTTCCAATGAACTATTTGTTGTCTTCACTAGAGAACTCCATCATCAATGGATGGAAAATATATAGGAATAAGAAACATATGATAATAAAGAATTGACAACTTCCTTACATTTTTAACTGGGATGATAATGAAGAATGATATCAAAATTAACTGATAATGCTAATTTTGATAAAGTGGCAATAGCAGCATCATATTGATTGCAGTTATCTGATTAAATTTTTATATGCTCTTTTCAATTGTATGGTAACTATGATTTCAAAGACCGTAGCCAGATGCACCTTTAGATTAGTGAAAGTAAAGCGTAGCACAGTAATACAGTAAATCTTACTGGTTTTGTGAATGTGTAAGTTAGTATTTTATTATTTGGAAACTGCAAATTGCATTTGTTTGAGAATATTTGTAATTAAGCAAATGCTTAGGTTGCCAACCTATCTTATTTGTTTTATTTATTAAAGATTTTACAAGATGCAGGAGCATTCACAGCTTGACCAACCAGGAAGCATTGCCAAGGGTTCCATTCTGTAGAAAACACTGGCTGGTGCAGTAAGAAAAGGCCACGATGCCTAAGCTATTTAAAACTTTCTTACATTGTCATCAGTAGCTGGTTTATCTATTATCACCTCTGGCAGAAGCTGTCCAACAGGCGATGTAGGAACAGATGGTCCACCAACCAGGGAAACCACCCCGTTGCAATCCACAGTGCTGTGCATCTTCCCATTCACTGGAAACACTGCCAGCATCCTGGATGACCTACTGGCCTGACTAATGTTACTGTTGCGCCGTTCACCATGTCTGCGTGGTACAAACAGAGAATCTCTTCTGCTATCATTGTCTTCAAAAGTGCTGTGCTCATCATCAGCAAAGTCATTTTCAGATCCTATATCCTTTGCTCTGCCTCTGAAGCTGAAAAGACTTGTTCTGCTGTTGCGCCTTGGAGAAAACAGGGAGCCTCGAATGCTCAGCAAAGACTGCAAGCAAACAAAATTTGTTATTATTATGTGAAACCTTCATAATTAGCATTGTTTTTAGTATAGAATAGGGGTTTGGGTTTTTTTTAGAAAAGCTAAATGCTGCTGTGAGATTTCTGTATGTATTTCATTACATATATATATATTGCAGATAGAAATACCACTGTTCATGGATTCTTAAGACAAAACCGATTTTGAGTACTGTTTTCTCCTAATGTTAATTGGAATTATTAAGTAAAGTAGTTGCACAATACCCATCATGAAATAAAGGGAATTTATACATGCACTCTCTTTCATGTATGCCGCTTCCTGGACATACTGCACCAACCTCCAAGCGTCATTGAAAGAGGAGGAAAATCTGAAGCCATCATAGTGGGAATATACTGTTAACATTTTAGTAAGTCTAGATAATACATATCTACTCTAAAAAAATCCACAGGAGCAATCAGAGAATATTTTAATATGACTTTTAAACAGTAATAGAGATACGAGGTACATTTAATTCTCTGTGGTTTTTTACAAGACAATCTAGTACCTACAACACTTTACCTCAAGCATTAGCAACAATAATAAAGTTTAATGAAAATCTTAGGGTTTCTTTTCTTTAGGCACTAGGATGATATTACAGTACCAGGAAGACTTAAGTAGTTTTGTAACAGTCTGTGATGCTTTAAATGAATGCTTCTATTAGAAATAACTATATGCAATACCTGATGTGGAGAAGAATACTTCTTTTCATATGTCAGTCTATTGCCTTCAATGGATAATCGGAAACCTTTCCGTCTGATGCTGTCTTCTGATTCAGACTTGTGAAATTCATCTTCATCTTTTTCCTCTCCTCCTGACTGTTCTTTCTGTTTTCTTTTTTTCCTTCTATTTCTCCGCTCTTTTGCACTCTTTGAGCTCAATTTTGATGCTGCTGAGGAGCTTTCTGAGACCCCTCCTGCTTCTCCCCCAGCGCTGGGCTCCCTGGACTCCGCGGATGCTGTTACTGTTGCTGCCGCCGCCACCGCTGCTGCCTGCCACGTTGCAGAATGAATTCGTGTCACTAAGCAAACCATGACATAATGTTTTTTTTAAATTTACTTATCAGAATTTCTGGATCTCAACATTTTCCATAGGACATCCTCTCCCTATGTTTTTCTAATTTTTATTACTCAGTTGACTCAAGATATGTATTGGTCACAGCCTTCTTCCATCTTTCATGGGCAGTTTTTAAACGCAGAAAACTAACAGACTCAATGACACTAGACCAAGAAAAACATAATGAATAATGTATACCTCGTTTTGAATGTTCCTTCTTGATTATAGCCAGATAGCTCACAGTACAGCACCTTTAGTGCGGAATAGAATATCTATGAGTTACCTCTGTTATTGAAAGCCTGTCAAGGTATTTTATAACTTCAAATTCAAAAAGAAGAGGGTGAATACCTCTAGTAAAGTTACTTCCATATACTTCTGCATTACTACGCCATAAATTATACCTGAGCTGCTTCTTGTTGTTTCTTCAATTGTTCTAGCATCTGTTGAAATTCTGCCTCTTTCTGTTCTGCTTCTTCCATGGTTGCTTGATTCTGTTCTTCATAGGCCATGGCGACCACAGCCAGGATCAAGTTGATCAGATAGAAAGACCCCAGAAAAATCACCAGAACAAAAAATATCATGTATGTTTTCCCAGCAGCACGTAGTGTCTGGAAATAAGAATACATTTATAAGCAAGAATAGGTTAACAAAAGTTTTGGTTTTCCTATTGTTAAGATAATATAAGAAAATTGATGTTAGGCTTCTTGCATTATTGGTACAAACATATTTAGCTTCATTACATTAAAAAATTCTCACCAATTGATAAAGGTTTTCCCAGAAGTCTTGAGTCATCAAGCGAAATAGTGACAAGAATGCCCAGCTGAAAGTGTCAAAACTTGTGTACCCATAATTGGGGTTTCTACCAGCTTTCACACATGTATATCCTTCTGGGCACTGCCTATAAAGACAAGCCAGTTGTTAACATATATAGTGACTTTAATATTTATTTTTAATATTTAATATCACCTGGAATGTCCAGGAGAAGATTAGGATTAAAAAGAGGGTTTTTTTCTGTAGAAATAATAAGTCATGATTTTAATAGAAAACTATTTTAAAGGACACTAGAAAAATTATGTAGGAATGGCACATAAAAATCAGTATCAGAAGTTTAGTCTAAGCTTCTAAAACATAATATTCCAAATAATTTTTTAATCATTCATCTTGTAACATTAATGTCAACATCACTGTTTTCTACTGTCTGAGCCTGTTAGTACTCATGTGTGCAGCTGGAACTGCAAAATAACATGTGTTTTCCAGCAGCTGTGTCTGTTACTTCTCATCCAGCTACACTAATACCAAATTACCGATTCATTCATGCAAACACTGAGTTCATATAACCAATCCACTAAGCTCTGACCAGAAGCCCAAATCCTCAGTGCAGCACAAAATCCTAGCATTTCTTACATGAAAGAAAGTGAACGCTCAAAATATAGCTCCCTTCTCCAACTGTTCATGAAAGCACCTAATTTGTACACAGTGCGATAATATGACAAAATTTGGTCTTACCCAGCATCAGAACTATTTCCACAAAGCAGAGCATCATTTTGCCCTTCCAGAAAATAAAAATGACCTGTTTAGAAAAGAATTAGAAAAAAATTGTAAAATTCTGAATATGAAATTTTTCCTACAGCTCTATGAAATAAATAGTCCTGCTCTAAAAGTGTTGAGGTGAATACAGATGCAACTTTATCAAGCAGTATTATTTTTTTAGCAGGACCACATCTTTAGAGTAAATGGCAGTATGCATTGCAGTAAGTACTGTCACTCACAGCACTTACTGTCAAAATGCCAAACTGTACTGAAAATCCTGTCAAATGCTGCTGGATGTAGATTAAATGTACAATTCTCCCTTCAGTCTGATTGCTGAACTAAATAACACTTTGGGAAATTGTACTGTACAGTTTTTTATTGTCATAATTAAATTGTATATGAAAAAACCATACAGATACTTTATTTCAAACTTTCTGATCACTGTTGACAAGGATTCCAGTCTGTCAGCTAAAATCGTTAGTACCCTGGCCAGCTGCATCTCTCCATCCCATCATCAAAATTCGCCATTTGGAAAAATTAGGTTTTAAACTGTATGTAAACCTTGTTCAGACACTCTGCGAAGGGCTCAGTTTCAGTGTCTAACAATACATCTGTGTCTTGCAGGGTGCAATCTTCTGTACTGTGCAATGTGCACAACCCTATGTGTGGCCACTGTCATTTCAGGCTAGTATGCATTGCAGATATGCACTGTGCTGAAACACAAGCTGCAAGTAGTAAAGTTAGCTGACATGATGCTGACCACAGCTGACCCTTATGAAGCAAATCTTATTCTGTATTATGTCAGCTAATCATGATTAAAACATAGTGGAACATAACAGCTGGTTAGGAAGAATGCAAACCTAACTTGATGTAGTTTACATTGAGCAGTCAGTTGTAATCAGTACTGCATCAGCTGAGCTATACCACTGCAACAGGGTCTTATTCAAGTTCTGTGGTTCAGAGATGTTCCTTGCAAGCATTCTGTACTTGCCAGCTTCACAGGAAAGAGTGGCCACCCAGGCTTTCTCTGAGTGCACTGGTGCTCAAAACGTTATCATGATGAGAAAATTTTTATAACACCACAAACTGAGCAGTATAAGCACGTGTCTCTAGCTAGATGCAAGCCTCTGAATTGTATTTTACCAAAGTAATGTGAAAAGTCCCTCACTACATCAATGGTATATATTTACTCCCCACCATATGACTGGGAAAAAGGAAAAGGTCCCAGGTAGATGAACACTTTACAACAAGGGAATTTACAGTTGCTTGGGTAAACATAGGGTAATGACTGAGAAGAATGGCTACAAAATAGGTTGTGAGATACTATTTCCCAGAAAAAAAAATGTTTATGGCAGGCTTGCCAAGACAAACTTATCTAGCACTGAATTTATCAGATTCACTGTCTTGGAAAATGAAGGAAAAAAAAAATGTGTTGACTGACTGATGCCAGGAGTGTTTACGTAAGTCTCTCTAAACAGTATTTCCAAAAATGAGCTCAGTGGCAAAATTAGGCCTTACATGCCTTTTTTGCATAGTGTACACAACTACTGGCATAAAACCTCATAATTCCTACAAAACACAGTGCCATCACATTGCTCTGAGCTCCATGTAAGTCCCTTCTTATTGCCCTGTGATACAGGTATTTTAAGATCCATTTCTGTATCTCGTCTGCCCACCTGAAAAAAGAGAGCAGGAAGCTATGAGAAGGTAATTTTTCTGTTTGAAACTGATGGTAAGCAAGGAAAACCTTATCAACTTCATAACAAGACTCATAATTTCATTATAAATTTCATAATACATATGAAATCCTGTGTAAATACACCAGAGGTTCAAGTAGCCATTCAATAAAGTACTTTCTGTAAATAATTCAATTAGGTTTTTTTTAGGGGACTTCAGGATGTCTTTAAATTAAAAGAAATCAGAGCTTGAATGTATAGATTCTTTGTTAATAGCCAGGAAATGTAGTAATTAAATTTGACCTTGAAGTCTAAGCCTTCATTAAGAGACTTTGCTGTACACTGTGGCATGGGATCTCCATGAATTCACATGTTCAAGTAGAAAGATTGCATGGTGATTTAAGAAATTCAGTGGGAATCCATCATAGTCGTTGTTCAGCTATGTGATCACACTTAGAAGCTGTCTTACTCTATTTAAAATTTGCCTGGCTTTAACTTGTAGCTATTGAACCTGTTATATCTTTTCCTGCTAGATCAAAGATATGTCTATGATGAAATTTCTGTTCCCCATGAGGTCTTTCTCAACTGTGATCAAGTCGCCCTTTAAACCTTCCCTTTGATATGATAAGTAGGTTGAGCTCCTGGTCTATCTTGATATAAAGCATGTTTTCCAACCCTTTAATCATTCTGTTCTGTTCTGCACATCCTCCATTTTTTCAACATTCTATCTAAATTGAATTTTATATACTATTCCAGTAGCAACCACAGTAGTGCTAAATACAGAAGTAATAATGCCTTCCTGGTCAATAATTTATTTATGCGAACAGGATACTATTTAGCTTTTTTGGCTGCAGAATTTTAGTCTTAATTTGTCAGAGTCCTGGCTGCTCCACAGTGCCTTAGGTGCCTTAGCCGCTCTATTGCTAAGGGCTTTCCAACTGCATTTCTATATCCTGCTTCTCAGTTGCAGCTCTGCAACCTTTCATGTAAGCTGCTGTTGCAGTGTTTCCCAGACCCTCTATGGCACTATTTTTCTTTTGCTTTCATGCTTTTTTTCATGTTGCTTTTATTCTAATGACATTACACCTACAAACACATCATTGTTGCAGCAGGTACTCATAGGAAGCAATTTTCTCTAGCATGAGACTCACACCTCTTTTTTTCCCTACTACTTTTTTGTAGCTTTTGGCTTATATTAGGTGACCTAATAACATGGATGTATGAGCTTAAAAAACAACCAGCCATGCAGCACCCAACCTGATCAAAGTGCATTCCAATTAATGCTAATAGCACTGTAAGCAGGAACAACCTGCGGGGAGTTTAAGGAGATGCTAATGAAAAACACATGGTTGCTATGGGAAAAGTATTACAGAGTGACCACTGCTGCACTGGAAAGGTTGCTCAGGGGAGGAGACACACCTGGGGACCCCACCACTTCTCTTCACAGTTAGCCAATGTGGTCAGTTTTCCTTTTCCCCTTCCCCTTCCCTTTTCTTTCTCCCTTTCCCTTTTAGCTCCTGGTTTTCTACAAAAGTAACTTTCATTGTTAGAGATGATATATGCCATCTGCTACACCCTTTATGCATGTGAACCTGTCTCAACATGAATTGTGCAGCATTGATTTTTAGGGTAAGGAGTATAGGCTTGCAACCTCACACTTAACTGCACTGAAATACATTTCTTTATCTGTTCTCAGTTTACCAGGCGGCTCTGTATCAGCAAAACTCATTGGAAGGTTATACTTTGGAGAATTATCAAAATGGAAAAATGCATCAAAACATCTTCTGAAGAGGTTTGTCTGAGATTGCTGCTGTTCAAGGTTTTAACTATTCCAGATGATAATCTAGATGGGTTTTTCAAATTTGCAAATGATACTGATCTGATAAGGATGGTGGTAAGTTTGTGAGGAACCAATTACAAAGACCCAGGATGGTTGAAAAAATGGTTTGAAAACATAGGATGCTGTTCAGGCTGGAACAATGAACTGTGTAAATACAAACTGAGAAAATCCGTAAAAGATTCAGGAGCAGGTAGACCACAAGCTGTACAGGATTTAATGATGTCTACAATTGTAAACAATGGCAAGCCCCAGCCTAGGATATAAAACCCAGAAGTATAAGTTACTATGCTACCACATAATCCTTCTTCTCTGCTTAGTATGCCTCATGTGAAGGAGAAATATTTAGATGTGAGTACTGCACTTTAAGAAGGGTATTTACAAACAAGAAAGGATCCAGATAAGAGATCAAGATCTAGAAAATAAATCATAGGACACAAAGGTTAATGATGTGGGCTGCTTAGCATGCAAAAAGAAGACTGAAAGAGGAGAGAACAGGGCATGTCAACATGAGAATAGTAGTTAAATATCTCAGAGAGAGTAAGTCATGGTAGGGAACAAATTTGTTTTGATGCCTGTGGTGAAGTTAATAAGAAC